CTCTCTCCCCTCTCTCTCTCTCCTCCCTCCACCACACCCACCCTCCACCCGCCCTCCACACCCCACCACTAACTATGGGCGGCTCCTCCCCTCTTATCTAACCCACCCTTTAATTCTCTCTGTGACCTTTTATCCGAAATGTCTCAATTTTATCCGGATTCCGGTTAACTAACTTGATCACATCATCCGCAATTCTTCTCAAAGTTGTTCATTTAGAGTACAGAGTAAGAACATTTGATAGAAGTGAAGTGTTCCCTTAAAGATATTTTGATATAAGAAGAGCGCCTTTAACCCTCTAAAGTTGTCCCCTTACCTGCCAGGTAAAGTAAACAAAAAAGGGATTGTAGTTTGTACCTCTCAGGAGGTAACAATAACTAAAGATGTAACTTTGTACCAGGTGGGTGGTGAAAGTAGCATGGACGTGAGGTTCAGCTCCCTTAGCCTTTCCTCGTAGCTCATACTTCTCAGTTCTGGGACTAGTCTGGTGGCGTACCGCTGAATCTTCTCTTAAGTGTTTAACTAGGTATGTAACTATAGCGTCTTGTGTTTAACTAGGTATGGACTCTAGGCTGGAGCTGCATTCTCCAGGATTGCTCTGACATAAGTGGTATACAAGGGTCAGAATGATTCCATACACAAGTTTCTAAAGGTAGTTCTTATGTTGGCCCACCTAGCATATGCCGCTGATGTGATGTGATGTGCCACATCCTTTTGATGTGGGCTGATGGGGACAGGATCGGTGTGATATCAACCCTCAGATCTTTCTCTTTATTTGACTCTTGCATGATATCACCTTCCAGAGGGTACCTTGTGTTCAGCCTTCTGCTCCCTTCGCCTAATTTCATTACTTTACACTTTCCTGAGTTAAACTTTGGTAGCCATTTTCTAGACCATTCCTCCAGTTTGTCCAGGTCATCCTGTAGTCTCTATCTTTCTTCATCTGTCTTGATTCTTCTCACAATTTATGCATTATCAGCAAACATTGAGAGGAATGAGTCTATAACCTCTAGACGATCTTTATATAACAGAAACAGGATGGGACCAAGTACAGAGCCCTGTGGGACTCCGCTGGTGGCATCTGGCAACACTGAGGTCCCTCCCCCCCTCCCATATCCACTGGAGCTCCTTACCGTTTACTCCTGTCTGTTTCTCCAACTTTTGTAACAGTCCCTTATGGGAACTGTATCAGAGGCTTTATGACAGTCTAAGAAAATGCAGTCTGCCCAGCCTTTTTTTCTTGCCTAATTATTATCGCCTCGTCAAAGAATTCTATTAAACCTATGAGGCACGATTGACCATCACTGAACCCATGCTGGTGGTGTGTTACAAAGCTCTCTCTCTCTCTCTCTCCAATGCGTGTATTCACCTAGTTGTATTCACTTAGTTGTGTTTTGCGGGGGTTGAGCTTTGCTCTTTCGGCCCGCCTCTCAACTGTCAATCAACTCTTTACAAACTGTGTGCGTGTGTATGTGCGCGCGCGCGCTCGCTGATGTGTCTGGGTGCAACCCGTCCTCCTAATTGAACGTCGCATTTTGACCCGTATACTCTACCTAAGGCCAAAAACTAGAAAATGATCGACTTACTGTCCCCGTTTTCTGTTTTGGGTCCTCTGGCAGGTTAGGCTCAGGGCACTTTAGTACGACAGTTTCTCGACGTTGGGGAAAACCTTAGGAGGACGGCCTTCACCCTCCCTCTCACCCTCCCTCTCACCCTTTCCCACTAACACACCTTTCCCTCACTCTTTCTCACAAGCCATTCTCTCACTTCTCACCCTCCTCCTCCTCCTCATTCTTCCACAAGAGTCCACTAACTGAGGATCAACACCGGGGTCTATACCTATTTACTTAAGAGGATTCGATTCCACTACCAAGGCTACCGGATCCCTTTTCAAGGCTACTGAATTCCACTGTATTTAATTTGTTTTGTTTCTCTCTCTCTCTCTCGGGGCTTCTGTCTCTGAGACAGTCAGTGATCAATGTTTATAGTTTCTCTGTCCTTCTGATTCGGTTATATAGATTGTGTTAGTTTGGCTATATTATAGCTATATTTTGGCTGCATTTTTCATATAGTTTGGCTGTTATTTTAGCTATTGTTTGGCTATATTATTTTTTTACTATAATTTTGGTATTTTTTAGTTGTAGCTTAGCTATATTTTTAGCTACAGTTTGACTGATTTTTAGCTAAAATTTGGTTGTATTTTTAACTAAAATTTGGATATATTTTAGCTATAATTTGGCTATATTTTAGCTGTAATTTGGTTATATTTTTAGCTATAATTTGGCAATATTTTTAGCTATAATTTGGCTATATTTTAGCTATAATCTGGCTACAGTTTTCTGTATTTTTTACAATAGTTTGTTTGTGTTGTTAAAAATACTTTTGGATACTGAATATTGGCGACACAATAATTTGTTGAACATACCACGTGCAGAATATCCCTCACCATCACTCTCACCCCTCACCATCACTCTCCCCCTCACCCCTCACCATCACTCTCACCCCCTCACCATCACTCTCCCCCTCACCATCACTCTCACCCCTCACCATCACTCTCACCCCTCACCATCACTCTCACCCCTCACCATCACTCTCACCCCTCACCATCACTCTCACCCCTCACCATCACTCTCCCCCTCACCATCACTCTCACCCCTCACCATCACTCTCACCCTCACCATCACTCTCACCCCTCACCATCACTCTCACCCCTCACCATCACTCTCACCCCTCACCATCACTCTCACCATCACTCTCACCCCTCACCATCACTCTCCCCCTCACCATCACTCTCACTCCTCACCATCACTCTCACCCCTCACCATCACTCTCACCCCTCACCATCACTCTCACCCCTCACCATCACTCTCCACCTCATCATCACTCTCACCCCTCACCATCACTCTCACCCCTCACCATCACTCTCACCCCTCACCATCACTCTCACCCCTCACCATCACTCTCACCCCTCACCATCACTCTCACCCTCACCATCACTCTCACCCCTCACCATCATGATCTACCTGCCTCCCTATTTCTCCATTCCTCTATTGTGCAAAATAGACCTTAATGTATACTCTGTAATGTATTCGTGTATGACCCTAATGTATTATGTATTTCCTCATATACATCCTACCCTCGCTCCCTCCTTCTGTTCTCCCCTCCCTCCTTCTGTTCTCCCCTCCCTCCCTCCCTCCCTCCCTCCCTCCCTCCATCACACCAGACAAGCAGTCTTGGCAGGGTGGCGGGGGCGGAACACGGCCTACTGGCACCTAGGCGAGGTCTCACGGCGCACCCTCTCCCTAAGGGTGCGCCGTGAGACCCTTAGGGAGGGTCTAAGGGCTGTTAATCGAGCTGTAACAAGGTGGAAGGGAATTGAGTTGATGGATTGATGCAGGGACGGGTTGAGGGAGGCCCGCGCCACCACTCCGGGGAGACGGACCTACTGTCACGACATAATGACAGGATGTCAATATGCTTATTTTTCTCCCTCGTTTCTGGCAGCTATTTTTAAATTCCTTGTTTATATCTCTTATATTTCCCGAAGCTAAGATCATCAACCTGCTGCCCTTCACCAGGATGCGACCCACAACAGTCGCCTAACTCTGGGGGTACCTATTTAGTGCTAGGTGAATAGCGGCATCAGGTGAAGGAAAACTTGCTCAGCCGTCTGCGTGTATCCCGCCCGGGATCGAACTCTTGGTTCTTAGGTTATGAGCCGAGAACGTAGACCACTGTGCTGCAGAACCCGTATATAATATTTACCTGAATTTGCCTGAGGGGTCACTATGTCTCTAGTGGCCTGGAAGGGGGGATAGGAAGCCGGCGGGTTGTCGAAGATCGAACCATTGAATATGATGGCAATGATTCAACCACAAATATTCTTTATATTTCTTATGGTCTTCCCTTGGGAATAAACTTTCCAAATTAACTCATGTGTTCAAGTGACAACTGGCCGCCCGTGGCTGGTGGCGCTGACGGAGTGTTTCGCTGAAGCTCTCGTTAACATATTCGGAGGCAGAGGGAATGTGCTAACAAATGAGCATATTTCAGAGTATACCTTGCATGGAGGGATGATGAGAGTATACCTTGCATGGAGGGATGTTGAGAGTATACCTTGCATGGAGGGATGATGAGAGTATACCTTGCATGGAGGATGATGAGAGTATACCTTGCATGGAGGATGATGAGAGTATACCTTGCATGGAGGATGATGAGAGTATACCTTGCATGGAGGATGATGAGAGTATACTTTGCATGGAGGATGATGAGAGTATACCTTGCATGGAGGATGATGAGAGTATACCTTGCATGGAGGATGATGAGAGTATACTTTGCATGGAGGATGATGAGAGTATACCTTGCATGGAGGATGATGAGAGTATACCTTGCATGGAGGGATGATGAGAGTATACATTGCATGGAGGATGATGAGAGTATACCTTGCATGGAGGGATGATGAGAGTATACCTTGCATGGAGGATGATGAGAGTATACTTTGCATGGAGGATGATGAGAGTATACCTTGCATGGAGGATGATGAGAGTATACATTGCATGGAGGATGAGAGTATACCTTGCATGGAGGATGAAGAGAGTATACCTTGCATGTAGGATGAAGAGAGTATACCTTGCATGGAGGATGAAGAGAGTATACCTTGCATGGAGGATGATGAGAGTATACCTTGCATGGAGGGATGATGAGAGTATACCTTGCATGGAGGGATGATGAGAGTATACCTTGCATGGAGGATGAAGAGAGTATACCTTGCATGGAGGATGAAGAGAGTATACCTTGCATGGAGGATGAAGAGAGTATACCTTGCATGGAGGATGAAGAGAGTATACCTTGCATGGAGGATGATGAGAGTATACCTTGCATGGAGGGATGATGAGAGTATACTTTGCATGGAGGGATGATGAGAGTATACCTTGCATGGGGGGATGATGAGAGTATACCTTGCAATGGAGGATGATGAGAGTATACCTTGCACGGAGGATGATGAGAGTATACCTTGCATGGAGGATGATGAGAGTATACCTTGCATGGAGGATGATGAGAGTATACCCTGCATGGAGGGATGATGAGAGTATACCTTGCATGGAGGATGATGAGAGTATACCTTGCATGGATGATGATGAGAGTATACCTTGCATGGATGATGATGAGAGTATACCTTGCATGGAGGATGATGAGAGTATACCTTGCATGGAGGATGATGAGAGTATACCTTGCATGGAGGATGATGAGAGTATACCTTGCATGGAGGATGATGAGAGTATACCTTGCATGGAGGATGATGAGAGTATACCTTGCATGGAGGATGATGAGAGTATACCTTGCATGGAGGATGATGAGAGTATACCTTGCATGGAGGATGATGAGAGTATACCTTGCATGGAGGATGGAGAGTATACCTTGCATGGAGGATGAAGAGAGTATACCTTGCATGGAGGATGAAGAGAGTATACCTTAATCTCTCTTTCTTGGACTTGTTAAGACGTAACTAATTCCTCTTCCTTCTCCTCCTCCTCCTCCTCCTCTTCCTTCTCATCCTCCTCCTCCTCTTCCTTCTCATCCTCCTCCTCCTCCTCCTCTTCCTTCTCATCCTCCTCCTCCTCCTCCTCTTCCTTCTCATCCTCCTCCTCCTCCTCCTCTTCCTTCTCCTCCTCCTCCTCCTCCTCCTCCTCCTCTTCCTTCTCCTCCTCCTCCTCCTCCCTCTTTTCTTGCTTCTCTGCTATTCGCTTCATTCTGCGCCTTGTAATACAGAGCAGAATGTTAGGGAGAACAGAGATCACAATTTACGGATTATTTTAAAAATTATCGTTCAGAGCTGTGATGTGTCACCTGCTGAATTATTAAACAATTTGAAATAGAGTTAATTAAGGACAATTTATTGTGCATTTTTAAATACCGTTGGAAGCACATGTGTGTAATGTGTGAGTGTGTGTACTCACCTAGTTGTGCTTGCGGGGGTTGAGCTCTGGCTCTTTGGGCCCGTCTCTCAACTGTCAAACAATCAACTGTTACTAATTATTTTTTTCCACCCCCCTAGGAAGCAGGCTGTAACAGCTGTCTAACTCCCAGGTACCTATTTACTGCCAGGTAACAGGAGCATCAGAGTGAAAGAAACTCCGTCCATTGTTTCTCGCCGGCGCCGGGAATCGAACCCTGGACCCCAGGATTACTGCCCAGCGTGTTGTCAACTGAGCCACCGTCCCCCCCCCTCTGTGTGTACCCCTTGTCTGTGTGTATTAACTATGTGTGCTTGCAGAATCGAGCTATTAGCTCTTGGACCCCGCCTTTCTACACCAATCTATTTTTCCTCTGTTATATCTACTACATATATTTATCTCTAAGACACACACACACACACACACACACACACAATCCCCAGGAACTCTGAGGATTGTGTGCGTGTGTTAGAGAGAAATATATGTAGTAGATGCACAGTTTATATATGTGCCTCCCCGCCTCTGCTTATGTATCCCCCGCCTGTGTACCCCCCCCCCCTAATGTGTACCTGCAACCCCCCCCCCACCCCCCACCCCCGCCTGTGTACCCCTATTACAAACCCCAACAATCAAGGTTGACGTTGCAGACTTCCCATTTATCAATATTAAGCACATGTGGCCTCAGGTAAATCTTCAATCAATTAGTCCAGAGATGTATAAAGTCTACGGGAAACCAACCACCAGTTTACGATCCTACCGGCACAAACAGATGATAAGAGTGAATAAGCGCCCTGTTGAGCGTAGCTGAAATATTTCTCTCACGCTGAGACACAAAAGCCATATATCGACTATGGCTGAAATTATGCGCCGAAAACTGAGACTTATGACCATAAGAATGGATTCGGAATGTAAACATGATGTGCTGGAGGGTGAGACTCTTGTATCTTTGGCGAGAACGATGTCTTGGTGCGTCTAAGAGAACGATGTGTTGGTGCGTCTAAGAGAACGATGTGTTGGTGCGTCTAAGAGAACGATGTCTTGGTGCATCTAAGAGAACGATGTCTTGGTGCGTCTAAGAGCGTCTTGACGTCTAAGAGCGTCTAAGAGCGTCTTGAGCGTCTTGGTGCGTCCACAGTCTCCGTGGTGTAGTGGTAAGACACTCGCCTGGCGTTCCGCGAGCGCTATGTCATGGGTTCGTATCCTGGCCGGGGAGGATTTACTGGGCGCAATTCCTTAACTGTAGCCTCTGTTTAACGCAACAGTAAAATGTGTACTTGGATGAAAAAACGATTCTTCGCGGCAGGGGATCGTATTCCAGGGACCTGCCCGAAACGCTACGCGTACTAGTGGCTGTACAAGAATGTAACAACTCTTGTATATATCTCAAAAAAAAACAAAAAAAAAAAAAAAGAACGGTGTTGGTGCGTCTAAGAGAACGATGTCTTGGTGCATCTAAGAGAACGATGTCTTGGTGCATCTAAGAGAACGATGTCTTGGTGCATCTAAGAGAACGATGTCTTGGTGCATCTAAGAGAACGATGTCTTGGTGCGTCTAAGAGAACGATGTCTTGGCGCATCTAAGAGAACGATGTCTTGGTGCATCTAAGAGAACGATGTCTCGGTGCGTCTAAGAGAACGATGTCTCGGTGCGTCTAAGAGAACGATGTATTGGTGCGTCCGTCCAGCTGCCAGATACTTCCACCAGACGGCTCTGCTGTCGTTCTCCGTCACAGGAGAGAGACGAGTTTCTCCAAGTTGAAACAAACGAACACTAATTTAGGCTACACAATGACGGGAGTTCGGTAGAACGGACTTGACGGGTCTTCGGCTGCATGGACTTGATGGGTCTTCGGCTGCATGGACTTGATGGGTCTTCGGCTGCATGGACTTGATGGGTCTTCGGCTGCATGGACCTGACGGGTCTTCGGCTGCATGGACTTGACGGGTCTTCGGCTGCATGGACTTGACGGGTCTTCGGCTGCATGGACTTGACGGGTCTTCGACTGCATGGACTTGACGGGTCTTCGGCTGCATGGACTTGACGGGTCTTCGGCTGCATGGACTTGACGGGTCTTCGGCTGCATGGACTTGACGGGTCTTCGACTGCATGGACTTGATGGGTCTTCGGCTGCTTGGACTTGATGGGTCTTCGGCTGCATGAACTTTTTTTTTTTTTTGAGATATATACAAGAGTTGTTACATTCTTGTACAGCCACTAGTACGCGTAGCGTTTCGGGCAGGTCCCTGGAATACGATCCCCGCCGCGAAGAATCGTTGTTACAACCAAGTACCCATTTTACTGTTGAGTTAAACAGAGACTACAGTTAAGGATTTGCGCCCAGTAAATCCTCCCCGGCCAGGATACGAACCCATGACGCCAGGCGAGTGTCTTACCACTGCACCACGGAGACTAGAACTTGATGGGTCTTCGCCTGCATGGACTTGACGGATCTTCGGCTGCATGGACTTGATGGGTCTTCGGCTGCATGGACTTGATGGGTCTTCGGCTGCATGGACTTGATGGGTCTTCGGCTGCATGGACTTGATGGGTCTTCGGCTGCTTGGACTTGATGAGGAGTTCGGTAGAACGGACTTGTGACTAGTTTTAGCCATCCTCCATATCCATCTCTGCCTCTTTTCTTCCTCCTTCTCTCTCTTCTAATCTTATGCGCCTTGTTCTCCTCTTCCTTTGCCTCCTTCTATCCTTCCTTCTCCCTTCTCCCCATTTTTATTTTTCCTCCTATCCGTTCTTATCTTTATTTCCTTCTTCTATTGTTTTTAATCCCTTCTTGAGTTTGACTTTCTCTTTTCCCTTTCATTTGCTCTCTTTTCTATTCCTCCTCCTCCTCCTCCTCCCTCCGTCAGCCGGGCGCGGGGTCATAAGTTGTGTGGAGGAAGACCAACCCATTACAACAGCCTCAAACTTGTCCAAAACTTGCAAACAAGTTCCTGTGTATAGCGTCCGTTGCCCTCCCCCGGAGTGTGTCGTTCCTCCCGGAGTGTGTGTCGTCTCGTGAGTCGTCCCGGGCGGGTTCGAACACATAGATTCGAACCCTTATCACAGCCCCAACAGATTTTCTCATTGTTGCAATCACGTTAGTGTGATTATACTTAAATGTTGTTTTCCACACAAACATGAATACATTTACAAATACGTTTATTTTGCTTCATGTTCACCTGAATTTATTCCATTTCCTTGTTGTAACCTGTTTTTATTTTGTATTTATATGTATACAAGAGTTTTTACGTTCTTGTATAGCCACTAGCGCGCGCGTAGCGTTTCGGACAAGTCCTTAATCCTAATTTTTCCCCGGAATACGACCCGCCAAATCGTTTAACAATCAGGTACTCATTCAGTGCTGGGTGAACAGAGGCTACAGCTAAGGATTGGCGCCCAGTCAATCCTCCCCGGCTACGATACTGAACCCAGGCCAAAGTGTTGTTGATCCTTTAATCCATTCCAACAGTCACAAAGATCCCCCCACCCCCCACCAATATCCAGCTCCCCTCCAAACCCCCCCCTCCTTCTCTCTCATCTCGTTAGCCTATACGCTACTCGTTCTTCAACTGGATTGTTCCCATTAACAAGGAGCTTAGACACGCAATAGGAAACCACATGGTTCAGGTCTTCACGACCCAAATAAACTGCAAGAAAACCCTTCTTGCACTTCTTGCAGTAACAACCATTAAACCCCCCCCCCCTACCCCCCCTCTGGGTAATTCCTTGTTGGCTTCTTCGGTCGTTAACGGGAGATTTAATCGTCTGTAAACACCATCTTCGTGAATTCTCTCTCCGGCCGAAGTAAGTCATCCAGTCAAGTTAGATTTAATGGTCCTTGAAGGGGAGACACAGGGCGCTTCTCTCCCAACTTTCTTAAAGAGTTCCTAGGACGCTATATTTTCTTGTTTTAAAATTTGATTTGTTTCAGGTCCGTTAACGTGGATCTTGAGGCGTTTATTTGTTAGCAATACTCTGTCTGTATTTTCTATCTCTCCCATACGTGAAAATTATTTTAAAAAATTATTTTCATTTTGTATGTAAGTTTGTGCAGTGTTCTCTGTGAGTGATGTGTTCTCTGTGAGTGGTGTGTTCTCTGTGAGTGATGTGTTCTCTGTGAGTGGTGTGTTCTCTGTGAGTGATGTGTTCTCTGTGAGTGGTGTGTTCTCTGTGAGTGATGTGTTCTCTGTGAGTGATGTGTTCTCTGTGAGTGATGTGTTCTCTGTGAGTGGTGTGTTCTATGTGAGTGGTGTGTTCTCTGTGAGTGATGTGTTCTCTGTGAGTGATGTGTTCTCTGTGAGTGGTGTGTTCTCTGTGAGTGATGTTCTCTGTGAGTGGTGTTCTCTGTGAGTGATGTTCTCTGTGAGTGGTGTTCTCTGTGAGTGGTGTGTTCTCTGTGAGTGGTGTGTTCTCTGTGAGTGATGTGTTCTCTGTGAGTGGTGTTCTCTGTGAGTGGTGTTATCAATGAGTGGTGTTCTCTGTGAGTGGTGTTCTCTGTGAGTGGTGTTCTCTGTGAGTGATGTTCTCTGTGAGTGGTGTTCTCTGTGAGTGATGTTATCTGTGAGTGGTGTGTTCTCTGTGAGTGGTGTTCTCTGTGAGTGGTGTGTTCTCTGTGAGTGATGTGTTCTCTGTGAGTGGTGTGTTCTCTGTGAGTGGTGTGTTCTCTGTGAGTGGTGTGTTCTCTGTGAGTGATGTGTTATCTGTGAGTGGTGTTCTCTGTGAGTGGTGTTCTCTGTGAGTGATGTTATCTGTAAGTGGTGGTCTCTGTGAGTGATGTTATCTGTAAGTGGTGTTCTCTGTGAGTGGTGTTCTCTGTGAGTGGTGTTCTCTGTGAGTGGTGTTCTCTGTGAGTGGTGTTCTCTGTGAGTGGTGTCCTCAGTACTCACCTAGTTGTGCTTGCGGGGGTTGAGCTTTGTCTCTTTGGTCCCGCCTCGCAACCGTCAATCAAGGATGCCGATCGGCCGAGCGGACAGCACGCGGGACTTGTGATCCTGTGGTCCTGGGTTCGATCCCAGGCGCCGGCGAGAAACAATGGGCAGAGTTTCTTTCACCCTATGCCCCTGTTACCTAGCAGTAAAATAGGTACCTGGGTGTTAGTCAGCTGTCACGGGCTGCTTCTTGGGGGTGGAGGCCTGGTCGAGGACCGGGCCGCAGGGACACTAAAAGCCCCGAAATCATCTCAAGATAACCTCAAGATAACTGGTGTACAGGTTCCTGAGCCTACTAGGCTCTATCATATCTACATTTGAAACTGTGTATGGAGTCAGCCTCCACCACATCACTTCCTAATGCATTCCATTTACTAACTACTCTGACATTGAAAAAGTTCTTTGTAATGTCTCATTTGGGTATTCAGCTTCCACCTGTGTCCCCTTGTTCGTGTACCACCAGTGTTAAATAATCCATCCTTTTCTACCCTGTTAATTCCCCTGAGAATTTTGTATGTGGTGATCATGTCTCCCCCTAGCTCTTCTGTCTTCCAGCGACATGAGGTGCAGTTCACGCAGCCTGTCCTCATAACTCATGCCTCTTATTTTTGGGACTAGCCTAGTGGCATACCTCTGAACTTTAGCGTCTTGTGCTTGACTAGGTACGGGCTCCATGCTGGGGTTGCATACTCCAGGATTGGCCTTACATATGTGAGTATACAAGGTTCTGAAGGTCCTTACACAGGTTTCTGAAAAGCAGTTCTGATGTTAGCCAGCCTCGCATAGGCAGCTGATGTTATTCTTTTTATGTGGGCTTCAGGAGACAGGTTTGGTGTGATATCAACTCCCAGATCTTTTTCTCTGTCCGTTTCGTGAAGGACTTCATCTCCCATTCTTTATCCAGTGACTGGCCTCCTAGTTCCTCCTCCTAGTTTCATTACCTTACATTTACTTGGGTAGAACTTTAGTAGCCCTTTCTCGGACCATTCCTTCAGTTTGTCTAGGTCATCTTTTAACCTCCTACTACTATCGTCCTCTGTCTTGATCCTCCTCATAATTTTTGCATCATCAGCAAACATTGAGAGGAACGAGTCAGTTCCTTCTGGGAGATCATTTACGTATATCCTAACAGTATAGGTCAAAGGACTGATCCCTGTGGGACTCTACTGGTGACTCCCCGCCACTCCGAGACCTCACCCCTCACGGTGACTCGCTGTGTCCTGTTGCTTAGGTACTCCCTTATCCACTGGCGTACCTTCCCTTTCACTCCTGCCTGCATCTCCAGTTTGTGCACTAGTCTTTTATGTGGTACTGTGTCAAAAGCTTTCTGGCAGTCCAGAAATATGCAGTCTGCCCAGCCCTCTCTTGCCTGATTTTTGTTGCCTGGTCATAAAACTCAATTAAACCTGTTAGGCATGATTTACCATCTCTGAACCCATGCTGATGTTGTGTTACAAAGTTCTTTTGCTCCAGATGTTCTATTAGCTTTTATTGCACAATCTTCTCCATCATCTTGCATGGAATGCAAGTTAGGGACACTGGCCTGAAGTTCAGTGCCTCCTGCCTATCATCTTCTTGTATATTGGGACTACATTGGCCGTCTTCCAAATTTTTGACAGTTCACCTGTTACCAGTGATTTGTTGTACACCATGGAGAGTGGCAGGCTCAGAACTTCTGCTCCTTCCTTTGGAATCCATGGCAAAATTCCATCCGGACCTATAGCCTTTGTCACATCCAAATCTAGCAGATGCTTCCTCACCTCCCCACTGGTAATCACAAACTCCTCTATTGGTGTCTGGTTTAATGTTCCCTCTCTTATCTTCGGAACTGCTCCTTGCTCTGAGGTGAAGACCTCCTGGAATTTCTTATCAAGTTCCTCGCACACTTCCTTGTCGTTTGTAGTGAATCTTTCTGTCCCTATCCACAGTTTCATTACTTGTTCCTTCACTGTTGTTTTTCTCCTGATGTGGCTATGCAGCAGTTTGGATTGAGTCTTTGTCTTGCTCGCTATGTCATTTTCATATTGCCTCTCTACCTCTCTTCTCACCCTGACGTATTCATTCCTGGCGCTCTGGTATCTTTCTCTGCTCTCTAGTTTTCTGTCGTTTCTATAATTTCTCCACGACCTTTTACTTAGTTGCTTTGCTACCGTACATCTCTGATTAAACCATGGGTTTCTCATCTGCATCTCATTTTTTTCCTTTTGGACTGGGACGAACTTGTCTGCTGCCCCCTTACACTTCTGAGTGATGTAGTCCATCATGTCTTAAACCGTCTTTCCTCTGAGCTCGGATTTCCCAAGCTATTTCAGTTAGGAATTTTCTTATCTCCTCATAGTTTCCCTTCCGGAATGCTGGCCTCTTGCTTTCTGGTCCCTTTCTTGAGTATATTAACCCTTCTTCGACACAGATACTCAAACAACAGTACACTGTGATCACTCATACCCACGGGGACTTCAAGACCGATTTCCCTTATGTCTGAATCGTTCAGTGAATACTAGGTCGAGTCTTGCTGGTTCATCATTGCCTCTCATTCTCGTGGGATCCTTGACATGTGAGAGGTGTCCGCAGCGAATGGTGCCCTCAGAGTGTGTTGTCATCAGCGAGTGGTGTCTTCAATGGGTGGTGTCTTCAATGGGCGGTGTCCTCAGTGAGTAGTGTTGTTCCCCCCAAGGAAGCGGACAAACCAGGGTCTTCCTCCTGTTCCTTCTCACTGCCTTTCTTTTTCTGCAAATATGGCTCCTTTGCAAGATTTTCTCAGTTCGTACTGGCAACGTCTCTCCTCGTGTAGGTCTTGCTTTTCTCCCATGAGAAAAATTCACAAGGTCCCGCTTGTGAAATTTTGCAAGACCTCGATCCAGTTGGTGAAAGCTTATAACCCATCCCCCTACCCACCTACTGTTTCGGAGACTTTTCCTTTTATAATTTTATAATTTTCCCCTCTCACACTTTATTGCTCTGTTCCCTGATGGGTCTAAGTTTGCCGATGATGTCGTCTACTCTGTTTTTATCCCGGATCGAACCTGTATTTGCCACTTACCCCCGCCCCCAAGAGGCTAGCATCTTCATGGCAGAACTTTATGCAATTCTGTCAGCCCGTCCTCCAAAAATGGGGAGGTAAATGTAACAGCCCCATAAATGCAATTATGTACTATGTATGAAAGTCTGAAATTGTACTTATTTACACTTAATATTAAATTGTCAGCCTGCTTACTCTTCGTGAGGTCCTTTCACTTCATCTGTTCCTTTATCATTGTTGTTGACTCACACTGCCCTCGGTGCCCACATGGCTCCTATGTTGTTCAGCCCTTTGCATCCTGTGGTAGTCAAAATCCAATACTGGTTGGTTCTTATCTCTGGAAGATTTAAGACAGTTGAATTTTGTTGGGTTCCCAGTCATTTAGGAGTTTCTTTGAATGAACTCGCAGGCACTACAGCTAAGGAAGCCATTCGTGCTTGCAACATCTCCCAGAAAGGGATTCCCTATTGAAGGCGATGAGTCACAATAACGTGGCTGAAGTATGTTGACCAGACCACACACTAGAAGTTGAAGGGACGACGACGTTTCGGTCCGTCCTGGACCATTCTCAAGTCGATTGTGAGAATGGTCGACAATCGACTTGAGAATGGTCCAGGACGGACCGAAACGTCGTCATCCCTTCAACTTCTAGTGTGTGGTCTGGTCAAGGATTCCCTATTAAAATTTCTACCTAGTCAATCATGATGCAATCCACAACAGCTGGCAGGGTCATTAGGCTGGCATTACAGGTTATAAACTGTATGCTCTTTACCACCTTGACCTGTCTTCCGTCACCATAATAGGCAATGAGAAATGGCTGTGGCTAGGTCACACATTCCTGACTCATGATTACTAACGAAACAACGTCCTGCTCCCTCTTGTCCAAACTGTATTGTTCCACTTGCAGTTGTGCACCTCCTGGCCGATTGCCCCAAATTTCAAGATGTTCTGAGTGTTTTTCTTTCCCAATGTCCCTAGGGGTCGGCTGTCACTCAATAAAATCCATGGTAAATCCGACACCTTTGATATCATTTGTCATATGTCCTTCTGTTTTTTTATTGGCATCTTGAGTAATTTTAACACCTTATGAACATCTAGCAACACAAACGGTGCTACATAATTTTCCCGGCTTGGTGCTTTCCGTTGATAATTACTACTTATATACTTTATACAGAAGAGGATTACCATAGTGACAAAGGTGGGGAACGAGGAATGACATGTTTCAGAGTAAATGTCATGGCACAAGTCTTTGTTGTAGAGAACTTGAAGCCGTGTCGCCAGTTAGAGCAGAGTGATTTCATCAACATAAAGGGCTGAGAAAATCCTGCTGGGGCAGGGAAAGGAAGAGTAGTGCTCAGAACACTACCTTGGGGGTAACAATTGATGTAAGGGTTAATACTCATATTTACCTCTTGGAGCACTACTACCTAGGTGCTATCCTAGGTAGCACCACATACAATTCAATTTGGTTCCCATAAATCTGTTATGGGTTTATTGAGGTACTTCTATGCTAACTACTGACCTTCACCAGAAGGAAAACCACAATTACACAACTTCTGGTTACCTATTTATAATTACTGTTGGGTGAACAGAGTTATCAGGAGAAATAAAATGCTGCCAAAACGTTTCTATCCTACTAATAAAATCAAACCTGACTGTGCTTACCAAAGCAGATTTTGGGTACAGTACTACATTGCATTTTGTCTTTTCTCATTGCTTGCTATAACTGCCAAAACACTAATTTTGTTTTATTTTAATAAAATATTATTTGGCAAAGATTCTACATGTATGCACAGTTATAAACACCAAAATTGATAATTAAATGTGTATCAAGAATATCCTTGTTAAATAAGATTTACAGCAACTTTAGTAGAGATTACAAACCCCTCGACTTAATTTTACATAAACAAACATTACAGTAAGTAGATTATAACAAATGTGAATTTAAAATGCAACAGTTTTTCAAATGTTATTCATTTATTTTTTATTCAGAGTACAGAATGATAAAGATCAACTAAGAATCTTGTGTACAACCTTAAACTACTGTACAAGTAAAAATGAACACAAAATCCTATATTAAGCAGTTGAGAAATAAAAATGGGATCTGAAGAGACAACACATTATGTATGATTAACTATTCACAGAAAAAACACCAAAATACAGTATATGTAAATTATGAAAATGAGTAAATGATTGAAACAGTATCATGAAATCTCAAGAACATGGCGAATCTGAGAAAATATTGAGACCAGACGAACATTGGGATCAAACCCATCTCTCAGGACTCCCTAGACGGACTCCCTATCATTGTCCAGTTGGAAGTCGTGTGCTTGGGAGTTCACGGACGTGGGTTCGATCCCATTTTATGGCCACGATATTTTTTTGAAATATTTGAAGTTTCAGTGGACTCCCTAATGAATATGCCAGAATGAAAAGTAGTGAACTTCAGAATATAATTACAAGTGCCACATTTCAAAACAATGAAGCAAAACATAATAAGACACACTGTCTACAAATCTTATACCACTTGCAAATATACGTGCCTACCAGTGTCAATGTGTTCACATTACCAATGGTGCTTCTAGGCTTCCATCAATGCCGGGTGGAGGGGGTCCATGTAAACGAGTGACCAACATTAAAATGGTGTAGTACCCAAGATCACCTACCCAGGTACACATGCTTAACCAGTGATGCAGACATCATTCACTGCACCTTGGTGTCTATATACACTGACCAGTATTTTCATATTCTAGACATTAAGATACACAGTTTACCCATCCTGAACTACAATTCAATTTATAATTGCTACCAGGGTGGGATTCTGGCTCTGAACCCAATGGAACTAGTGATCAGTGTAAAAAATCATTCACAACCAGGTCAAAATCTGTGATTCGATATATCAAGCAACTTCAAGTCACAAATATAAACCAAGTCTTCATTAGAAAGCACATACAGTACCACATTCTTATCCGTGTACGTGAGAAAGTATAATGATTCAAATAAGCGCTTCTCAAATCTGTCCACTATTTGGGTACCCCCACCCAAAAAATATTTATTATACATGCAAATGCCTTACTGTATTTCTTGCAAAATCTCCAACACATCTCTTATTTCCTCTGTGTTGTTATTTTAGTGTAAACTCTTGTTTTCAGCAGTAAATTTTGTAAATTATACATCCTATAGTATACAAGATTTTTCCAAATTCCAAGGGATCTGGCCACGAAATCTGGGCAAGATCTTCATGAAATTTTTTTCACAAAAATAGTGACAAGTCCCCTTAGGTAAATGACAATATAATGACAAAATCAATAGTGATTAAACATGGCTCAGGCACACTTTACCCACCGGCAAACTTCGCTCTTCGTCTTCCTAGTCCAACATGCAGGACAGATTAGTAATTTTGTCTCCTCTTTCCTTAACCCTTCCTTAATAACCTTGGATGCCCAAACTTCTATAAATACCTTAAGAGTGTCAAACTTTCATTTGTACCCTAGTGTCCATTTTCCGTTAGTGCCCTGCGGTGTCTGTTTACCCCAGCATAAAAAAAATTAAAAAAATCAATCTCTTTACATTCATATATGTAATTTAATGGATGTATGTCAAAAGTGAAATATCTTGGGATTTTCAGCATTAATGTGTCATCGTGATGCATAGTGCTGAAAAGAATACAAATTTTCTATTGCTTGGTGAATGGATTGTGTGGAATGTTGAAATGCACCAGGATATTGACACAGGGTTAAACAAGAATAATATTTACCCCTTCTTGTTCAGCAAGAAGGGTAGGACAGTATTTTAAATGGGCATGTAGAGAAATGAAGAAATTAAAGTGTGCTGGAAGTTGGCAAACTACAAAACACACACATTAAGTCTTCAGTATAACACCCTTACCTAGCAAGTAAAAAATATTTTTTAAATAAATTTTAGTATGCCATTCATTGGCCCTGTTTTACATGACACTTATTCTAAATAACTATTTTGGAATTAACAACAATAATCCAAGAAGCGTAGCTTTCAGAATAAAATTAAGAATAAAATTTAATTAAATTCACGACAATTTAATTAAAATAATCAAAATACCTAAATAAAATAATCAATAAAAATGTGTCCTTCACAGTACCCAACTCTACATTACATCAAGGATTAAATACAACACAGTGATGAACTCAGTCTAGTATTGCAAGTTGACATGGATTACTTCTGTAAATAAAACCATTCATTAAACACAAAAATCAAGAATCTTTCAGGACTAAACAAATTGCTAGAAACTGTTCCCTTCAAATTTGCTTTTATGATGATGTAAAAATGTGAAACATACTTTGCATCTGTATATCTCCAAATCAAAACTTCAGCTGCAAACAGTTGATACGACTCAAACACATGTTTCTTCAGCCAACACCAACAGACACACCATCTCACACGCAAATATCACCTCTCTCTCTCCAAACCAACCACCTCGGTTACCTAGAAGCACACACATATACCCCATCACAAGCATACCCTTCATCAACACTTCATACTATACTCGTACATCATACTATACTCGTACATCTCATGACATTTCTGGTTTATCAGACCAGCATCCCAATTCAATCTGTACCATGTACCCGACATTCCTACTACACGCACACACACAGTTTACTGTATACACTTTCACTTTACATCAATATTTTAAGAGTTAATGTACTAATAATGTTAATGTCTGCTTGTACTGTTACTCATTTTTTATTTATACATTTCCTGCAATGTATATAATTCCAGCAATGTTGAATTATAGAGTAATTTATAAGCAATACAGTATTTATATTAAAAAAAAAGTATTTAAAAACAAAATGTATATTCAAACATTATAACTGTGTCATTAGTACTTTCATCGTCAATACAGATACTGAGAGAGATCAGTAGCTAAAAGTGCGCATAAAATTTTTCCATTCCCAAATCTTCCATTTGAACCCTGAATTTTGCTTTTATCAAGCTGCCTACTATCAAGCTTCATTTTATACAGCATTCTCATTTGAAAGGTATACACTCTTGCCAGTCAGGTCACACAAAATATATAAACCCAAGGATGCATTCTCCTTAACCCTTAAATGACTTCAATCACTATCTGCAATTACTTCCTGTGCTAAAATCAGCATATGCCATTTTTATTTGATCAATAGTTTTGCGAATTATTATTTCATGCACACCATGATGTGGGACCTTTAATTACGTTGAGCCACTTAAGGGTAATTGGACTACTGTCAAACCCAACACACTCTTGAGGCACTTGCACTTCAGCAGATGGTACAATGGTATTTTAGCAAATGATGTCCCATGCTACAATGACACCCCTAGCAGGAAATGCTGGTGCTATAATAACACCCTAGCAGGTAAGGCTGATGCTATAAGGACACCCTAGCAAGTAAGGCTGATGCTACAATGAGAGCAAGAATCACGATGTTACATCTGAACCATTAGAGCGAATGCTTCCCTTACCATGAAGAACATCCACTAATGAGGTCAGAAACTGAAGAGCCCTAGGCAAATGGCTAAATAGAAAGGCCTCAGCTGTAACTTTTGGAAACAAAACATTTATTTCACACTTCGTGAGAGAAATGCCAAATATCAGCAGACTTCCTTCGTAACTCAACAAAACAATTAAACTAGTGTTATAAAAAGTGATAACCCATAAATTCACTCTAGAAGAGTCTGGATGGCATCAGAAGAGCTCCATCTCATCGGTGGTGTGGATGTCAAGGAAATCTTCATCGTACACTTCAGCCGTTCTATCTTCCAATTTAGCTGCCCGAGGGTCACCCTGAACGTTCAAGAAGCCTCCATTAAATGTGTCCAGAGAGGAGTCTGGCTTACATGTTCTTGGGTCAGCCACAACTGGAGGCGTGGAAATGGATACCAGATCGGGCAATGCTGAAGGTGACAGCTGATTAATCTGAAGATAAGAGAGAGAGAGAGAGAGAGAGGAGCAATTAATAATCTTCAACCTGGCAGACCATCCTGTGTGTTTCACTGTCACGTTTCCGAATGACTTTCACAATTTCTTTGGTCACATATGCTTGCTCAGATTTCGTAGCATTGAAAATATTAAACTGGATAATAATAATAAGTAGGTTATAAAATGTCTAAGGAAAACAAAAATGGAAATAAAAAAATTGTCAATCAAATGTTACCAGAGAGCCAGCAAGGTCCTCCTCTTCATTATCCGATGGTTGTGGTGAGGTGACTGGCGTTGAGCCGGGGCACTTGGCTCCCCCAGGGTCATCTGAGAAGAGTCCCCCTAGATGCAAACCTTCCTCAGTGACATCTTCCCCTGTGTGTAAAAAATAAATAAATAAATAAATAAATAAAATATATAAATAATGAAACAGGTACATAATTTCACACACTCCCCTCCAATGCTTAAACCTCTGAATGTATGTGTTAAATGTTGAGCAAAACAGTCTCGTACAGGGATAAATGAAGATAGAACCATCCTGTAGCACTGAGGTATCATGCGCGCCATCACGTCTCCTGAGCAATTTCAACGGGGTTTGAGACCTGGACAGGGAGGATTGCCAGGTCACTAACACTGAATTCTTTATCCCTGGTCACCCAGCAGTAATTAAGAACATAGTTGTAAACTGATCAGAGGGTCATGCTCCATGAAAACTGGTACAGTGGGCTCCAATCCTGCTAACAAAGTCCTAATACTGTGTAATAAACAAACAGGAGCACACACACACACACACACACACACACACACACACACACACACACACACACACACACACACAATGTCATCTCTCACTTTCACAAGGCTAGGGAAGCATCAGCCCTTCAAGAATAGAAGAGAAAATAAGACAAGAACAAACCTATCCCCCCAAAAAATCCCCCACTCATTTTCCACATCCTCTGCACTATATACAGCTGCAACATCTACAGCCATTGATGTCAGGATGCTTCATCACACAACCCTTTTGCCTGATACACATGGACACAGCAAATAGGACAGTACTATGCAAAATGTTACAACATCTTTTAAACTTATCCAGTGATCCAAATGATATATAATCCAGTGATCCAAAAATTATATGCAGGCGATGAGTCACAATAACGTGGCTGAAGAATGTTGACCAGACCACACATTAGAAGGTGAAGGGACGACGTCGTTTCGGTCCGTCCTGGACCATTCTCAAGTCGATTCAAGTCAAATCACAAGACAATCAACTTGAGAATGGTCCATAACGGACCGAAACGTCGTCGTCCCTTCACCTTCTAGTGTGTGGTCTGGTCAACATCCAAAAACCATTACGTTACCTAGCAACTTATTCAATATTTCAACAACCATGTTTCCAAACCAGTATTAACTCAGGACTTTTCTTAAATCACATCTTATCAGATTTAAATCCATTACACTTAAATATGTCCCATGGTAAATACTTGCCCTGCGGCTTTGATTCATGTCTTTCACGTTTACGGTGAGCTCTCTTGCGTTTTCTCCACTGCTGTGATGAATCTTCTTGTGGGAATATTTTTAGCATATCAGCTTTCTCTATGCTTGGAAGGTTCTTCAGTAGTTGCAAGTACACTCCCCCAGATGTTCTTCTTCTGGAGCCATTCTGCCAATAACATTTTGTATTTAAAAGTTATTTCTGAAGTACACAAAAACAAATTAAAACAAAATAACAAAATAACCTTTAAAACTATATTAAGGGAATATACCCTCATATTTTCTGAAAATATTCAACAAAAATAAAAAATTTAGAAAAATATCTAGGAAAATCTGCTCGCTTCTGGCAACACCATGGTAGATTCCTCATGTTTCTATCAGTTATATTAATAAAAATATGGGTAATATAACCCCCATCCACATCAAAAATGACACTTGCGCATCATGTGTTCCATTAGCAATGCGTAACTTTGTTAAAAAATCTCACAACTTTTGTGAAGTAAATTAATTCAATAAATTTAATTATTCAATATTTAAAATAGTGCCAGTTTAAACATCATATCCTAAACATTTCAGTGGCCAATAACAGTCAGATAGAGGGAATACCTGCCAACAAACTTTAAATATTTCACAACAAAATTTTCAGTCTTATTTAGCCATAAGTAAGTCTTAAGCCATGGCCAAGACAAGACTACTCACAATAATACAAATTTCATGTTCTGAAAATAAAATAACTGACCTGGCCTGACAGGCCTGACAAGGAAAGACCCAATATATATGTGTAAGTGAATTAAAAAACAAATTTTCAAATGTAACCTTTCTCAAGGTATGCTGTATACAATGTTCTGTTCAATGTATAGCAGAACACTGTATACAGAACCTTGAAAAAAGGATGTAGGTTACATCCAAAAATTTGGTTCTGAATACACTTGCATATATATATTGGGTCTTTCCTTTATCTTCATTCAAGCACTACAACATTATAATATGTTTCTCCATAACTAACCTGTTAAACTGACTTTTGTTTTTTATCTTTACTGACAATTGCAACAAGTGCATAAATTCAATGAAAATGTTCAAAACATTCAATAAACATTCACTGACATATCTACCATGTGAAACAGGTATTTCTGGCCTGCACAAAGCAATAATATAAAAAAATCAGAATTTCCTCAGCCATTGACAACACAATGAAATGGAAGGAATGTTTTAAGAAATGTTCTTGGCAATCTGTGCTGTAAATTAAGTGAAAGCTGGAACAGAGGAAGTTTTCAAGAGAGCTGGACAGGTTTATGCCGGGGTAACTGGAGCAGCCAGGCTGTGATAGCTCTGTGGGGCTTCAGGATATGAAGACAAACAGCCTCACAGACAATCACTACGGAAGGCTGCCCAATGGCCAGACTGCACACACACACAGTGAGCGACCTCTTAAAGCCCTCCATATACCATATATTTGTATTAAATCACCCCAAAATCACCAAATCGATTTAGTACTTTACAGTAATTTCTAGCCTATCGTATTTTGTCATCATTTTTACTGTCTTGTGATTTTAGCAGCACAGTGATCTTTATTCTGTACTCGCCTAGTTGTGCTTGTGGGTGTTGAGCTCTAGCTCTTTAGTCCCAACTTTAAACTGTCAATCAAATGGTGTACAGATTCTGGAGCCTATTGGGCTCTCATCAAATCTACATTTGAAGCTGTGTATGGAGTCTGCCTCCACCACATCACTGCCTAATGCATTCCATTTGTTAACTACTCTGACACTGAAAAAATTATTTTTAATGTGTCTGGCTCATTTGGGTACTAAGTTTCCACCTGTGTCCCCTTGTTCGTGTTCCACCAATGCTAAATAGTTCGACTTTGTCCACCCTGTCAATTTCGCTGACAATTTTGTACATGGTTATCATGTCTCTCCTTACTCATCTGTGTTCCAGGAACATTAGGTTTGGCTCCTGTAGCCTTTCCTCGTAGCTCATACCGCCCAGTTCTGGGACTAGTATGGTAGCATACCTCTGAATCTTCTCTGACTTTGTCTTGTGTTTAACTAGGTATGGACTCCAAGCTGGAACTGCATACTCCAGGATTGGTTTGATATAAGTGGTATACAGGGTCCTGAACGATTCCTTACACAAGTTTCCAACAAACCTGTGTTGGTGTGCCATTACCTCTCATTGCTTGAAAATGTGCTGTGCATTCATTATTCCTTTACAGTGTGACACTTGAATAAACTACAGTATAAGGGACAGAGCCAATTTGTTGCATGGGGTATTTTGTTTAATCTGTCAGGTCTACTTTATTATTATTTTTTCTGCCACTGAAATGAACAAACAGGTTTGCTTTATGATAAACAAATCCCATATAAAAAAATGATTTTGTACAGTCCAGCACAATAAAGTAAAAAATGTTGACACGACCATGTACGACAAAAATTCTCCACGGGGAAGCACCACAGGGCTTCAACAAGCAGTGAGGCCAAGAGAAAACGTTGTGATGAATTTTAAACAAAATTCTTCACAAGTTCAGCTTATTAAGGAAGTTAAAACTGGAATTCCTAGGTTGTGTGTGCCAAATACAAAGTTAGTAAAACCACTCTTCATGATATACTGAAGGCCAAAAACAAGATTTTTGCAAGTTATGGCAAAAGTAAGTGTCAAGAGAGAGAGAGAGTGATGAAGCAATGCGCAATAGAAAAATTGTTAGTAGTACTCATGTTAAAAGTGCTGATGAGGCTATCTGGGAATGGTATAGGCAGACATGTGATGAATCAAAGAAGCCAGTGCTGGGATGGCTAATTAAGGAAAAAGCCAAGCATTTTTACCAACAAACAAAGCTTTGTGATTATTGCGAGTACAGTGATGGATGGCTTTAAGGTTCGTCATGGTATTAGATGTGTTAAATTCAAGGTGAAAAGCAATCTACTGATGCAAGAAGTGCAGAGGAATGTGTGTCGAAATTTGAGAAAGATCAAGCAGGACAATTCTTCATCCCCCGAGCAAATTTATAATGCCAACGAAACAAGCTTGTACTGGCGTAAGTTGGATGGTTATACACACACACGCTCATCAGGATGAAAGTGATGGTTCAGCTGGGCTCAAGGCAAATAAAGAAAGGCACTTTGTCATGCAAAAGCAGCTGGTAAACACAAATTAAAATTATTCGCTACAGGTATTGGCAAAAGTGCAATCCAAGGGTATTAACAATATTATCCCTGTAATTTATTATCCCTGTGAAAAAACATTTAAACAGCAGTGGCTTGCCAGAGAACAGTAAAAATTATGCTCTTTCTTGATAATAGCTCAACCCATCCACGTGAAGATGGGCTAGTATGTTTGGTACATTTTTGCCTCCCAACACAACTTCCTTGATTCAACCCATGGATCAAGGAATAATTTCAAACCTTAAACTCCACCTCAAAACTAAATTTGACAGACAATTCAATGCAAAGAAGGGTAACATCAAGGAATTCATGAAAACATTTACTATAAAGTCAGCTAGCAATGTTGATAGCTAAGCAATCAACATTGAAGCATGCCTGGAACAAACTTTAGCCTGCAGCTGATTTGTTTCCTGGCAACGGTGACAACAATACTGCAGAGTTTGAAGGATTTGGTGGAAAGAAAGAAAGTGAGGTAAAGAAATTAAAACAAGACAAGAACAAAAACTCCTTGCAATGTTAAAGGAATAAACAAACAAGTTCGACAACTGAAAAATGAACTGATTGCGGCCAAACTTGAGGAAGAAGTGGATGCATGGATCAAGCGAGATCGAGATGTCAATACTTCACCAAGCACGTCTGACGATATCATTAATTTGGCGACAGAAAATAGCTAAATGAATTTGCAGGATTCAGAAGATTAGTAAGAGGAGGAGGAGGAAGGCAGAGCAACTCGAGCAAGCATAGCAGAGGTAAGGAAGAGCTTTGAAACCATTTTAAAGTTCATGGAGAGAAGATTTGGTGTCATTTTACAGATTTTACACAGTTTTCAAAAATGCAAAGAGGTGGCTTGAGACAATTAATACTCTTAAAGAGACTTTTGAGAGGGCTTCCAAGAGAGCTCGCACTGAAGTCTCTTGTGTTCCTCCGCCATGTAACTCTCAACCCTAAACATCTTGGGCTCAACCTCAACATCTCAGCTTCAACCCTCAATTAACACCCCCATAATCACCTAGCTATCATTCCAAGATTATATGTGGAGAAACATATGGACACTGGTGAGTGCCCATATTTATCGTTATTGTATTATTGTACTGTACCAATATTTTTTTTTTAAGTATCTCGTGAAACAATAATGTATTGTTATGTACAGTACCTTTGTACAATTGTTTTTAATTTTTTTGAGACTGGGGGGAGGGGGGTAATTTGACCACATGTCCAGACATGACTACACATCCACTCGCAATTGGAACAGAGGTGTTCAGAAGGGAGAATATTGAGTGTACTATACAGTACTGTTAGTCACAATATGATATTCTTTAAGTAAAAAATAGTTTTATAATTTGTATTGTTATATTTAAAATTATTATATATGTTGTACAGTATTTAATTATGTACGGAGATCACTTCTATGATTTTCTATAAGCTACAAAAATATGTGAGTAAGAATACAAAAATTAAACATATCATAAAAACCAAATTCATCCCAAATCCAGATTAGGTCCAGAATGATAAAGTTCAAATTTTTTGGAGGTTGCACTGCATGCCTCCAAAATATACATAAATATATTAAATACACATTTGATGTTATTGTATACATGAAAAGAAACGGAGACTCACCATAATCATAAGTCCACCTTCACGTTCCAATGTTTGTGTCTGTCTGTAGAGCTCCACAGCTTTCTCACGACCCAAGACCTCCACAACTCGTACTGAAGACAACATTTAGCATCAAAGAATGAGTATATACAAACAAGAGGCCTTAAACTAATGACCTATGCCCTGACACGTCCGCAAACTGCTGTAAACGATAATCAAAAATAGGAGTGAAACATCTAGAGAAGTAACTTTGTAACCCAGGACAACACGGTTTCAGAGGGGACAATGCATGCATGACAAACAACATGAATTCTACGACAGTCACCAAGACGCGATAGGAGAGAAGGGAGGGTGGACTGTATCTTGTACGTTGCCAAAAACTCTGACACATTGTTTAAAATAAATTCTCATTAACCGTTGATTGCTTAGGGAGGAGGAGAAGTATTTTGTCCTATGTTACCTCCCATAAAAAAGCTTGGCTTTAGTTTTGGATAGTATCAAAATATGTGCTACGTATGTACCTATATTTCAAGTCATTTGAATGGTCTGATTTGAATGTATTTTTTTGTAAAGTAAAAACTTGTTTGCCAAGTTAAGGGGGAAAGTGATAGACTGCTATTTTACATTTCTGTTTGTCAAACTTTAGTTATGAAGAACTACTCTCCCTCACATGTTTTCTGTACATAATTCTGTCAATATATATTGCTGGTGGGAAGAGTTAATTAACTATAGAAATACTGCTATAGTTAGCACCTCATCAAGATATGGGTATGACCAGGACAACCCTCCAATCCAGTTACTTAGAAAAGCCTATTAATTTAAGTACTGGCTGTTAAGTGGATCTATGCCTGACAGTAAGTAGGTCAAGTTTTTGATGGTCTAGCCATTGATATACAATTCATTAACTTTTGCAGTGGTTGAAAATGTATAACGAGCATACAGCAGTTTGGTTGGGGTTGCTCTGAGCCAGAGCTGCTGACGAACACAGAACTAGTTCTGAGGTGGACCTTGTGACCCCATGCTCCCCCCACCCAATGTCATTAAGTTGGCAGACTATTATTCTTGTGATCAATATTTAGGAAACCCACGTAGGAGACAAAATTACAAAACTAGTATTCCTGACATACATTCACTATAAGAATGAAAAGCAAGCAGAAATAATCGAGAAGGAGCATGAGTGGATACCTAGAGCATACCTGGAAAGAGTTCTGGGAGTTCTTCTACTCCCGAGCCCGGCCTGAGGCCAGGCTCGACTTGTGATAACTTGTGATAAAAGATGGATAAGGAAAGCACCTTGCAGAGAGGGAATGGTTATATTGAGAAGAACTGTCAGAGTGCATCCATTAGACATGTTCCTGCAGGAAGTGCCAGATCATCTGGGTTGCAATGAATATGTGCGCCTGAAGGCCGTTCAAAGTAATGACCTTTTAGATCAAGTTATCATAAGACAAACCTGGCCCAAGGTCAAGCTCAATAGTACAAGAACTCTCAAAACCAATAACAGGTACATACAAGGGCAGAAAGCAGAGCCCTGCAGGGCTCTGCTCTGCTCTATCTTAGATTACAAACAGTAGGAATACAAAGTGAAAGACCTTTCTCATGAGGCACGCTCATGCATGTCAATATTTGCAGTTGATTCATAGCTTATAAAGAGGGGTAAGGACAGAGGAAGACTGCAGGCTGCTGCAACTTCAGAAATAAGCAAACAAATAGCTACTAGAATTCAGTCCCAGCAAAGGCTAGGAAATGAGACAGGGAAGTAAGGTAAGAGACCAGATGGAAATTGCAGCAGAAGAGAAAGGTAACTACAGGAATTTTAAAAAGAAGAAAGTGCTAAGCCAATATGATTATACAGTACAGCATTTGTAGGGAATATGACAAAAAGGAGTGGGATAGGAGGAAGGGGGTGGAGGAACAGTGCCCAGCTACTTGGACCATAGGGATTAAATGCCAACCCTGCAAGATGTGAAGCCACTACTCCATCGACCAGTCCAAGTGATTGGGATTAAGATGTAGGGTCAACACCAGCTTTCAAAATATAAATATTGAGAAAGCTAATTCTTTAATATGAATAGATATTTCTAATTAATATTTGTAATAAAAATGATGGCAAGTCCTTTACATACCTATTAGTTCTGGCTTCCTTTCCATTAAACCCACTGCTAAGGCATGACCAACTTCTTCATCAGTCATACCCTCTGTCACACACACATCCACCAAGTTCCGCTGCCCACTTTTCGTTTTCGTTTTCTTGTAGCCGATTCTCTCTTTTACATGTCTCTTTCTGTTCAGTCTGTTGAAACATTAATGCTGAATTAGCCAAGTGATTTGATCAATAAACATAATATACTGCATGTTTATATAGTAATTTCAACCGTGAGAGGTATCCCTCTACACCAAGTACATTGTTTCCACCATCCAAGATTCAAAAGGGACATCTGAATAGAAACTAACAGAACATCAAAAATTTAAAGTATACATTATATCAATATAGAATGGAAACAACAAAGGAGACCGTCAGCAACTTAACCCTCAAATAGCGCCTGACTATTTAGCATGTGTCACCCACAGGCACATAAAAAAAAAAAATCTAAACCTGTTAATTTGTGTTCACTGATCATGGGAAAAATAATAAAAAAAATCCTAAGTGGCATATATTGCCTGCTATAGGGCGGGGAAGTCTGGCAAAAAACAGGCGCTGACTCAGCGTGTGTCCCAGACGGTCTGTTGCTCACCAGCTGTCAGGCCGGAGTTGCCACAAAGAGATAATTACCTAATTATTTCAATTTCTCTGATTTTTCATATTTTTTTGCTGTAATATTATTCAATAGTGTGTAGTGTGATATATTTATATAATAAAATGAGTGAATCATCGCTGTACTCAAAAATATGGTGTGCATATTGTTGATTAAATTATGTTCATCAAACAGTGAACAAATACTTTGTTGGTTATTACACTATATACACAGGTTATATATAAGTATCTGCATGTTTTGTTCACCATAACGAACCACTAAGTTGCTATTATGAGTCAAAAAGTAACGAGGAGTGACTGCCACACACCAGCCAGCCAGCCACTCCCTCAACACCTCACTCGCCCACACTCTCCTCCCACCATACTGTTTTTGCTTTTATTCACTATATACATACGTTATATATAAGTATCTCCATTCGTGTTCACCATAACGAACCACTACGTTGGCATGCTGAGTGGCAGTGGCAGTCCGCCACTGGCTGCTACTTCCTCCTTCCCTCAAGTCACCTGACTCACCGACATTCTCCTTCCACAATACTGTTTTTGCTTTTATTCACTATATACAGACGCTATATATAAGTATCTACATTCGTGTTCACCATAACGAACCACTAAGTTGGTATGCTGAATGGCAGTGGCAGCCCACCACTGGCTGCCACTCCCTCCCTCACCTCACTTGCCACCATTCTCCTCCCACCATACTGTTTTTGCTTTTATATACAGACGTTATATATAAGTATTTACATGTTTTGTTCACCATAACTGTACATCTAAGCTTGTATGGTGAGTAAAGGCACAAAGACGTAGCTACTCACACAGTCAGCTGGTGGCGGCCGCCTTCAAGGCCAGACACACTAATATTTCTCCTCCAGCAATACTGTTTGTAGAGTTATTACGCTATATACACACATTATATACAAGTATCTACCTGTTTTATTCACCATACAGTACTTGTACAAGTAAACTGGTATGGTGCCTAAAGACCATAGTGGTCACCAGTAAACAACATGATAAGTCGTACAGACGACGCACCTCCCTCACCAAAATGGCGGCTCCCAACCTATTCCTATTTATACCCTCTATACACACGCTATATATAAGTATCTACATTTGTGTTCACCATAGCGAACCACTAAGCTGGTATGGTGAGTGCAGTCAATAAAAGGTGACCACACACAGTCAGAAGATGACGCCACAACCCTCCCTCCCACAGCATTACTGCTCCCTCCATGGAGCACAGCGCTAAATATCACCACAATCCTGCTATTATCAGAACCCTGGTCAGTTTTATCACAGTCAGGGGGGCTTCTGTAATAATATCATTGCTAAATAATAGCAAGAACGTGTATATTATGGCATTTTTAGGCGATGCTGTGGTCACAAGCTGAACAGCAGTGTTGTGAGCTCATGCTACATGCATCAGGCTTGGTTGCTCACTCAATACTGAAGCCCCTCACACCCGGGAATTTGGCCCACGATTTAAAAAAAAAAATGGCGTCTGTTTACAAGAGCCCTGATGAAGGTGTGGTGAACCCCGTGTATCTGCGGGCTGTTTAAATCATGCACAGTACTCCAAAACATCATATGATGCCGAGCGCAATTTACTGCAAGTCACTCAACGCATCATATGATGTCTTGCGCAACTGAAAGGTTAAGGACATAACTTGCCTTTTCTTCTTTGTGTCTTCATTTTCATCTTCCTGCTCATTATCCTCATGTTCTTCCTCCCCCTCCTCTTCCTCCTCTGCCGAATCATCCAGTTCAATGCCTCGGGCTTTTAAGGCTTGTGTGTAATCGTAGCTTTCAACATTGCGATCACCCTGATCCAGTCTCCGTTTAAGACCAAAGCCCCCTATTTCTCGAGAGAGGTCCTAAGTGAGCAAGAAGAATTTGATAAGTTCAAACATTTTCTAGAAAAACCTAAATTTGTTAAAGATTTGAATTAAATCCAAATCTTGGGTGTTTTCCACCCCAAATAATCTGTTAATCTCTATTTCTTCACTGAAATTATTACAAATATTTATTTTATGTCAATGTAAAGATGTTTAAACTTCATTTACAGCTAACATGTTTTGTAAGCATCTTAAGAGTGAAAAGAATTTATCCCAATATTTTGCACAATAATACTTGGGTGAGTTTTGTTATGAAAATTATGATTTTTTTTAATTATCCCAGAGCAGATACTCACATGAAGTACAGGGAAATCCTAGGTTAATCCATCCTATGTTAACCCATCTCATGACACTGACATGCTATATAATCTAACAACAATTCTGTCAATCAGTCTTCTGCCAAAACTATGTCAATTCACTTTATAACAAACCAATGTTAGTCCATCCTAAGAATAGGTTAACTTTAATTAAAATACTTTACCTGCTCCTCCATTACAGTCGACCAAATATTGTTACGACGTCGAGGTTTTGCAATTTGTCTCGCCTCATTTGTTGCATTATCAATGGCCCAGCCCTTGGGGTCATGGCTGCAGGATAATAAGAATAATAAATAAACCCAAGACACATATGATAGACACAAAGCCATATGATGGGATCTAACCAGCATCCCTATCTGGATGAAACTGGCACACAGTTTCTTGGTTATCTTTCAAAAGTTTCACAGAAACGTTAGCGTTTTCTTTTGCAAACAGTGGTAGATGGTTGGAAGAAATTAAGTGAGAAGGTGGGAGAGGCTAACACCGTCAGTAGTTTCAAGTCGTTATTTGACAAAGAGTATCGGGAAGATGGGACATCACGAGAGTAGTCTCATCCTGTAACTATACTTTGGTAATTGCTTAAGTAATTACACTCTTTGACCAAGATATACAGAAGAAAAATAAAATAATTTTTGTGGAGAATGTTTGAAGGAAAAATTAAAGAAAAAGGCATATATGAGCTCAGAGAAGTACAGTACTGTCTAAGCTCACTTATTCGGACTACAGTATATGCGAAGGACCCCCTCACCGGATAAGCCAGATATCTGGATAGGCAGAATTCTTACAGGGGAAGTAGAAAAATAACCAAAATAATAAATCCCAAAATAAAACTAATATGAATTTCGATACGCTATAAATCAAAAAACCAGCGTTGAATGTAATGAAACGCCATTTTCTGGGTGAGACCCGGAGGCTCCCCGGAGCTTTACCGGCTGATATGCTAATGTCAGACTTTGGCATCAGTCATGTGTATGGAGTTCTAGGGCCTACCGGGGACCACGAGCCAGAACCTGGCCCCCTCAGAGAGGCAAGGGGAGCAATGGCCTATAGAAACCCCCGTGTGGTTGGAAGCATTCTATGTCTGCCATCGACCGGGTCAAGCATCCAGAAAGGTAAGCATTCCAAAACAAACCCCTATTCTGGTGAAAATTGCTACCTAAGCCGAACTAGTGAATAGAACTCTTCAACAGAAAACACGGAAACTAGTATGACGTCATACGTCACCGCGCCGCTGTCTGCGCAGCTCCCCCCTCCCCGGGAGGGGGAAGGGGGAGCCCCAGACCTCCCACGCCGGCTATCCACCCATCAGTTCTGAGGCTGGATGTCAAAACACGCGAAAAACGCCGACCGGAGGGAGGGAGGGTTGCCGGGGAGCCTCCGGGTCTCACCCAGAAAATGGCGTTTCATTACATTCAACGCTGGTTTTCTGGGGGGAGCCCCGTCGGCTCCCCGGAGCTAACTACCCACAGAGGAAGGTCAAAGGGACAAAACCGGGAGGCGGACACCACGCACCCCCCAAGGAGGCGAGACAACCGGCAGCAAACGCCAACCCAAGGCGCCACAGCCCCGAAAACCCGGGAACAACACGAGAACCACGAGCAGCAAGGCCCCTGCACGAACACCAAAAATCCATGCCCGAAAGACTGCAAGGCCACGTCGCCCAGACGGCAGCGAGAGCAGCGAAGCCACGAACGCCACAGGCATGAGGGAAGAACACAGGCAGCTTAGCCGCAAGAACACGGCTGACCACCCGGGACACCATCACCCGCGAACCGGGAAGAACAGAACCGGATCAACGCAAAACGCGCTCCGGACCCAAACGCCGTGGCACGCAAACAACAGCAGAGGGCCGCCACTGAACACAAAAACGACACACCCCCGGCCCGACCAACAAAGCACCAACAAACCCTGGACCCCTCCAGAATGCAGCAGCCCCACCCCGCGCCAGAAAAGATGGAGACTGCTGCCATCAAACAACCAAAACGCTAAAACCGAAGGAGCAAGAAAACACAGCGAACCGACCCCCAGAGGCAAAGGCCCAAAGGAAAGAGCCGACGAAAAAACACACCGGAACCGAAGGGGCACTACCAACCGAGGAGAAGACAGAGCACGCTGACCAGAGACCAGGATGGTGCAAGCGGCGCACGAACAGGCCGGAGGTGAACTGACGCACAAGACAGCTGACTAACGGTGCAGAAGCAACACCAAGACCGAAAGCAAGCTGAAGCGGCTCCGCCTGCGCCGCACGAAAAGAGGCGACAGTATGTGGCAAGACGACGGCCCCCAACCCCCACTAGAAAACCAAGCCGAGAGTAAACCAAGCCAACAAGAAGGACCCACCGAAGAAGGGACAGGAAAAGGAAGGACCGCCAAAATACCCCATACTGCCGCCAAGAAGCACGCAGGTGGGACACCTACCACGAAGCCACCCGACCACCAACCGGAGGCGAGACCACGAGGCAGAACATAAGCAGCCCCGACAAGGCCCCCCCGAGCCCAGGAAAAAGGCGGAGCCGCGAGAAGATCTCGGGCGCGACCACCGAAACCCAGGCGGCACAAGGAGATGGAACGTCTGCCGAACAGAAAAACTCCGAAGCATGCAAGCCCGCCAGGAGTTCAGAAACGACGGGTCCGACGCGAGACATCGCAAGAACCCCCCGAAAAAAATAAAACAAGAACAACCGGCAGGGCAAGCTAGGAAAACCAAAGAAGGGGGAAGGGTCGCCGCCAGAACAGGACCCGAACCAAGGGGCACGAACAACTGCAACAGACCGAGACAAAGAAGCACATCACAGGACACAGGCTGACCAACGCCTAAGAACACACGCAGAACATTCCTGCTGCAGAAGTGGCAGGAAGAAAGAGCAGAAGCACAAAAAAAAAAAACCAGGAGAACAACCAGGGGTGGACAATCAGGCAGGGACAAAAACCCCACGCAATCCCCAGGCACAAAAACGGCAGCAAAGCGCCACTCCACAACCGGACACAGGAACAAGGACACGCCACCGTGAAACACGGTACCAATGCTCACGTGCAGCAGCAGCAGCAACAGGCACCACTGCAACATGCAACATGTAAATAGCAACTCCCCTCTGCAAAGGCAGAGAACGGAGCAGGCAGACCCCAGACAGGGCCAACGGAGACACGACAAAACCCTGCAGGCCCAGAAACCTGCACCAGGCGACCGACGGCGGAGAAACCCCGCTCGATACCTGCTGGATGAGGTACTGGGAGCTCATTTACACCTCAAGCCCGGCCCAAGGTCAGGCCAGACCGGCCAGAGGATGGCCCACCAGGCAGCTGCTAGGAGCAGTCCACCGGCCCACATACCCCCACAACCAGGACGGGCCGGAACTGCCATACGAAAACAGGCCAGTGCGCCCTGGAAGTCCACGGACGAACCAGCAAGAAGGCTTATGCTCGCAAGTAGGTCGTGTAACAAGCACAGACCACTGATGGTAATACAGTGTTCCCCAAAAGTGCCAATAGCACCACTGCACTCCACTGGTACTATCCCGCAAGTTCTACCAGATAGGCGGGACCCAAGAGCCAGAGCTCAAATCCTGCAAGCACAGCCAGGAGCCTCACCAGGTGAGTACAGAACCAACCCTACAACCCCCACACCTCACAACATTAAAAAAGGAGGGTCCCCTGAACGACTCCAGCATGGGTTGGACATGCACATGAGGGGGACAGGAAGGGGTGATAAAGGGACAGTCACTGGTGTGCGAACGGTCTCAGTCGTACAAAATTATACCTAAATAAAGACAGGTATATGAACACCGCCGCATCCAGCGCCCGGCCAAAAGACGCCAGACCGCAGAAACTCACCTGGCGAATGGTGGCTCGAACTTGACACGACTCAACCGTGCCCAGAAGAACTTGGGAGCACCGCCAGGTGAAGACGCCAGAGCCGGACCCGCAGGAGAACAGGGAGAGGCGAAGGAGGCGGTCCACACCCATGACACAGAAAACCGCGGTGTCCTCCCCACAACTGGGAACCAGGACACCCCTGGCGCAAAGGGGCACATACCGCAGCCAGGGAGAAGAACGAGAGGCGAAGCACTGTAGCAAAAAAAGGGCGCAAAACCCCAGCACTGAACCATCGCCCAGACCAAAACAAACTCCACGGCGCATGCGCATAACACGCTGGCCGAACCGCACACCCTCCCTGCGGGAAGGCGCCAGCCAGGACTATTGCACGAGAAAAAGAGCCAAAAGAGGAAGCAGGAACAATAAAACCGGCCAAAGAAGCAAAGAGCCCAAAAAAAGGGAACCCAAACGGGCGACAAGTAGCCCAAACGGGCGACAAGTAGCCCAAACGGCCGACAAGTAGCCCAACCGGGCGACAAGTAGCCCAACCGGGCGACAAGTAGCCCAACAGGGCGACAAGTAGCCCAACAGGGCGACAAGTACTAGGAGCCGACAGACGTTCCAATAATGCGGGAAGTAGCGAAAAACCTTCCCGTACCCTCGAGAACACAGAAGCCAACCCTAGTCCCGAAGGCACACGAAGGCGCAGGCGCACCCGAGATCAAAAGTCACGCAGAACCCCATCGAACGGGGAAACATGACAAAAACACCGTCCCAAAAAGCGGGGGAGGAAACATCCACCCACAGGACGGAACCAACCGACTCAAAGGCCAAGGAACCGAGCCCGGGGAGGGGCCGACGTCCAACAGCACGTACGGCGAGTGGGGAGGAAAGACCCCACTCCGCGTAACCACAAGCCCCGCCGAGAGGGGGATAAAACCCCCCACGGGGTCTAACGGGGCCAAGGCCCCCCAAGTCAGCCCCTCCCCAGCCCCGGGAACCTACACGACAGGCCCCGGGGCCGAGCCGTTCCCCCAAAGCCCCGGCCGTACCAGAAAACCGGGGCAGCCGTGAAAACACTAAGGAAGGGAGCCCACTGGCAGACTCATACAACACGGCTGGAGGAACAGGCCCAAATGCCCCCGTCACTACCCCGGAAGGGGAATTCCCCGAGACTGCCCGAGTCTCAACACCACCAAACACCCCGCCCTGAACCTACAGACGGTAAGGAACCGGATACAGGCAGGAAGGGTGAACCAGGGGAAAGACAAGGGGGCGTGGATGGAACCGAAGCAACCAACACCCCCAAGTCCCAAAACGAAATACAACGGGGCAGCCCCGGGGCTCCCGGGGAGGAAACCACGAGAACGTTGCCACCACCAAGGCTCAAGTGCAACGCCCCTGCTGCCCGCACCCGCTTTGTAAGCACAACTGGGTAACCGAGCCACAACGAGCAACCAAACTCGCAGGACACCGGGTCGAAGGTGTCACCGACCCCACAGGCAGCAGACGGAGGCAAAACAGAGAGTCACCCAGAGACAAAAGGTGAGAGCAACCCTCAAACTCGCTGGAAGCGAGGGGGGGGCTCTGGGGTCACATCCATCGGACCCGCGCGCCCCCAGGGGTTTCCCAGGGTCCCGAGCGTTTACTTTAAGAGGACTCGCGCTCAGGTAAACCCAGGCAGGGTACTGCTAACCGGCACCCAAGCTACCAAACAACTTTCTAAGAGCTGAACCCCCGGGACGTGTACACTCACGGGGACCTAGCAGGGGGTACCACCAGAAATACTCAGAACACAAGGGACACAAGGGGCAAGAACGAAGGCAGACCCCCCCACCAGGTATATAAACAAAAGAAAAAGAAAACCCCGCAAGAGGACAGCGTACCCAAGCGGAACAGAGCCGGCCGCTATGATTGGTAAAGACAAGCTGCACAGTACCCCGCGCCCCACCAGTGCAAACACTGCCCCGTACTCTAAGGCGAACAAGGGAGACAGAACACCCGAGCACACAAAGAGCGGCCGAAAACCAAGCAGTAAACGGCCAAGCAGGGGCAGGACCCAAGGAACTTGTGGAAGGTGGCCCCAAGCCCCAAGGGCAGTACTTACAGGGCACCTAGGGAAGGGAACCCTAGGCGCATGCAGCCCGAGTACTGAAGAATCACACCCGGCTCACGCACCACCTAGAAAACAGACACCACACTCTAGGTACAGTGCTGAAACAACCACTGGAGCCGGAGCACATAACCATTGCCTATAGCATCAGCCGAAGAACTGATGGGTGGATAGCCGGCGTGGGAGGTCTGGGGCTCCCCCTTCCCCCTCCCGGGGAGGGGGGAGCTGCGCAGACAGCGGCGCGGTGACGTATGACGTCATACTAGTTTCCGTGTTTTCTGTTGAAGAGTTCTATTCACTAGTTCGGCTTAGGTAGCAATTTTCACCAGAATAGGGGTTTGTTTTGGAATGCTTACCTTTCTGGATGCTTGACCCGGTCGATGGCAGACATAGAATGCTTCCAACCACACGGGGGTTTCTATAGGCCATTGCTCCCCTTGCCTCTCTGAGGGGGCCAGGTTCTGGCTCGTGGTCCCCGGTAGGCCCTAGAACTCCATACACATGACTGATGCCAAAGTCTGACATTAGCATATCAGCCGGTAAAGCTCCGGGGAGCCGACGGGGCTCCCCCCAGAAACAAAATTTAAAATTTATTTTAATAAAATTTTAGAATTTTAAAGAGAAAGGTCAGCTTACATTGTTGTAGTCTGTGTTCTTGTTTGATACTGTAGACATTGAAATGTGTTCTTGAAAATTTACATAACCAAACCTCTGGTTATCCGGGTTTATGTCCGGATATGGCGAAGTTTTGCCACAAAATTATCCGGATGCAATTTTGACCGGATAACCCAAATACAGTATACGATTAAGTGAAATCTGGATAAGCGAGCGCATACAGTAAATATGTATCATAATATGAATGCATAGTAGGAGTTGTGTGAATAACTAATGCTGTAAATGTAAATATCAAGAGAAAGCATTAAACTTAGTACTGTATCACTATATAACACTTGGGAGGAATAAGATGACAAGGAGCCAGAACATGAGAACATTGAGAGAACAGTGCCCAACCATTTGGACAATCAGGGGGATTGAATGCTGACCCTGCAAGAAGTGACACCACTATTCTTCCAACCAGCCCAAGTGTATGGATTACATGAGGAGCAACAGATAACAGGATTAATAAGGTTGAGTGTGCAATAGTGAGTGTAAGCAGTGAGAGATGCCAATTGGCAAGGGAAGGCTGAAGAATGTATATAAACACTAATGATATCTCATTCCTGCAAATCAAATAAAAATTGCATAGCCATATTTTGGCTCAAATTTCTTGTTGATACCTAAAATATCCATGAATAAGATTCTTTGAAAATACAGTCTAGTATATTACAAGGCAAGATGATAATACAGATAATACATTACCAACTGCAGGTAGTTACTTAGTTTTATTAAAAAAATTTAATCATAAACTATTATACTGTACATTAATACCCATCCACTATACCAACATTGATTCTCGAAAGTTATGGTATGCTTTCAAAATTTGAGAGTAAACTATTCAACCGGTAAGCCAAGACAACAGCATAATTCAATAGTTTTTTATTGATAAAACTATATATTTTGCATATTTGTAAGCATTCAATTTTACCTTTGAAAACTTAATAAATACTGAAGATGACTCTGAGAATTTACCTTTCTGTGTAACAAGTATCCATTTTGCTGATGTTGGGCCGTTTACGTTTGGCAGACATTGGCGTATCCGAGTCGGAATCCGAGGAATATTCTTCATCGCTGGAGGGCATATGACGGGCAACATGACGATAGTGTGAAGAATCAGGACGAGTAACAGGCTTGTATGCTAGCTGTAGAGCAGGGTGGAGATACAATATTACATTATTTTTCAATTAATTAAAATTTGATGAACTATGAATTGATAATATAAATTCAATTTTTTCTGACTTACAAACAGTACTATAGGTAAATATAATAAATACAGTACTAATAGGTAAATACCACGAAACAAAAAACCAGCGTTCAATGTAATAAAACGCCATTTTCTGGGCGAGACCCGGAGACTCCCTGGAGCTATACCGGGCTGATGTGTATATATTAGACTGTGGAAATTGTCAATCGGTGGAGTTCTAGCCTACCGGGGACCATGAGCCAGACCTTGCCCCCCCCCCCCAGAGAGGAACAAGGATCTATGGCCTATAGACTCCCCCATGTAGCTGGAAGCAGTCTACCAGGTCAAGCACCCAGAAAGGTAGGAATCCCAAAGCAAACTACAGCTGGTTAAAAATTGCAAACCGAAAGCTGAACGAGCAAGCAAAACTCCCCAATCAGAAAACAAGCAAACAAGCATGACATCACCACAGCCGCTGCATTGCTGTCTGTGCAGTTCCCCCCCCCCCTCCCCAGGAGGGGGAAGGGGGAAGAGCCCCCAGACCTCCCGCACCAGCTTCCCAACTCCAGTTCTGAGGCTGATGCCTTGAGTGGCGGCCAATCGATTCTGGTTCCATCCTTTCAGCAGTGCTGTGCGTTAAGGTGTTCCTCTGCTGTGTGGTGGTGTGCGAGTTAGGTGTAATTCAAGAAGTAATGGGGCTGCTTGCGCCTAGGGTCACCTTCCCTAGGTGCCCTGTAAGTACTGCCCTTGCAGTTTGGGGTTACCTTCCACAAACTGTTCAAGGACTACCTCCACAGCATTCTTTTGCTGCTTGGTGACTGCCTGCACTGGGGTCAGCTGGAGTTTTCCTACCACTGTTTGGGCTTGGGTAGGAGGTAGTATTGTCGTTGGCTGGGGCACAGGGTACTGTGCCCCACATCTTATTATAAGGTCTTATTATAAGCATATTATAAGACCTTATAATAGGCATAGCAGCCAGTTCTGTTCCTCCTGGAGACTGTGCTTTTGTGGGGTGTTTCTTTTCTTTTGTTTTGCCTGGTGGGAGGGTCTGTCTGGTGTGGCTGTAGGACCACTCATTATTTTGGTGGCCCTCCGCTAGGTCCCCGTGATTGCACACGTCGCAGGGGTTCAACATTGTTTGTTAGTTTGGTAGTTCTGGGTTAACTGGTTAGCAGTACCTTGCCTGGGCTTCTCTTAGCAGTCAGCCTAAGGGCCCTGGAAAACCCCATTGGAGTTCATTGGTCAAATGGATGCGTCTTTTGAGTCCCATCTCGCTTTGTGTGAGTTTGAAGGTTGCTCTGTCCTCTGGTCTCAGAGTGACACTCACCATTTTTGCCTCCTCCATGCTGCCTGTTGGGTCAATAACACCTTTGACCTGGAGTCTTGCGAGTGGTGTTCCTTACTTGTACTCCAGTTCACGTAATCCTCTGATACTGATATTCGGGTGCAGGCAGCTTCTGCGTTGCATGCGAGGTTTAGGTTGCTGCAACGCACTTGGTTGGTTGCCTTTCCGGATACCCCGTGGCTACCCCACTTGGGTTATAGGAACCCAGACTTGGGGGCGTTAGTAGCCTTGACTTTGGTTTCGTCCATGCCCCCTTGTCCGTTCCCTGCTGTAGTTCATCCTGATTCCCCTTCCCCCCTCCCTGCCCCCAGTTCCCAAAGATCTGAGGGTTTTAGAGTTGGGGCGGGGCTTTCTTGGTGGCGAGACTCGGGCAGTCCTGACATGGAGGATCCCGGGGTTGGGGAGGAGTTGACTTGGGGGGCTTGGGCCCCATTTGACCCCGCTTGGGTGTTGGTACCCTCGGCATGGGACTTCTTGTTACAGAGGAAGGGATTTTCGTGTCCCACATCCCTGTACGAGTTTGATGCGAGTTCAGCTCCTCCCCGGGTTCGGTTCCGGGTTTCTCTCTGTTCTTCCGTTCCCTCCTTCCAGAGCTTTTCAGCTTCCTGCATCCTGCCTAGGAAAGTTCGGGAGGCCCTTGCAGCTTACCTCCTGCAAGACCCGGATTACGCCTCAATAATCGATTCATCTTCTTTTGAGTTTGGGTCCTCTTTTCCTTGCTGTGTGTGTTACGAGGGGGAGTCATCCTGGCTAGCAGACTACCCTTTCTTTTCATTGGGGGGGGGGGGGCATGGCATGCATTGTCGGACCCACACACTTGAATGGTGGAAGTTGACTACGGTCATTCAGGTTTACCCAAGGGGGCGAGTTGGATCACCTCAATGTGTGCTTGTTTGCCCCTGTGCTTTCTCGGGATGTTGGCCGGGTGCAGCTTCACATGCAGGTTCCCTCCCTTCCGGCGTCCCTGGTAGCTGAGGACTTGCGCGCCCGTGGGCATTTGGCTTCGGTCTTGCTCTTCTTTTCCCTGCAGGAGCTGTCTTCGGACTGGCTCGAGGAGGATGTGGAGGAGCTGGGTTCTGGGTCAGCGTCCGGTGCGCTTGCCTTGGCGGCTCGGGCCCTCGACTGTCTTATTGAATGGTGTCTCTGTACTTTGCTTCTCGCCTCGCGTGCCAACAGGTGGTGCTCGTCCACTCTTTGGAATCTGCTTTGACACTGACTTTTAGATTTTTGTCCCATTTTTGTCCATTGCTGTTTGCAGAGTCTGCAGTCATAACGCCATGCAACTTCAAATATATTGTGGGCCTTCCGAGAAGGTATCATCTTGAAGGAAGGCCAGAAAACTACTACAGGTAGTTTACAGGTTGAACCTGAATTACTTAAACCTGACATGTCCAAACTTAGCACTACCAAACCCAACACACCCAAACATCATGTATCCTATGTGTAAATTCACTTTTTAAATATACTTACTCAAACCTTGTGTACCCAAACTTGGCGGACCCCAACCCAGCGCTCTCCATCCCGGCGCTCCCCATCCAGACACTCCCCATCCAGACGCTCCTCAACTTGATACACCTCAACCTGACATAACCGAGCCTGATTTACCCAAATCTGGCTCTGCTAAACCCAATATACCAAAACATCACCAAGCCTAACCTAACTCATCGAGAAAGTCCTTTTAGTGTAGTGGCAAGACACTCACCTCGCGTTTCGCGAGCACTTTGTCCTGGGTTCGTATACTGGCCGGGGAGGATTTACTGGGCATCAATCCTTAACTGTAGCCTCTGTTTACTTAACAGTAAAATGGATACCTGGTTGTTAAACGATTTGGCGGGGTTGTAATCCAAGGAACACAGGATTAATGAATTGCCCGAAATGCTATGCGTTCTAGTAACTGTACAGGAATGTAAGAACTCTTGTATATATAAATAAAATAAAATAAACAAATAAAATAAAGCGGGAAGTAGCAGAAAAAAAAACAATCTGGAACCTGCTCACCGCTCTCGGCTTCTAGACCCGGCTCCAGAATAGGCAAGAACCCGGCTGGTGGCGGTGGCATGGGGCTGTAAACTACCAATGTGTCGAGAGGTCTAGTAGGCAGTGTGGTAATGGGCTGAGGGGAAGCGGGGTCAGGCAGGCTAGGCTAAGGGGAGGGAGAACAGGCAGGCTAGGCTAAGGGAAGGAGGGGGGCAGACAGGCTAGGCTAAGGGGGGAAAGGGATGGCAGCCTATGGCTGAGGGCTGCTATACTGGTCATAACCCAAGGAAAGGGGGAGGTGGTGTACACTACCAGCATGGCCAGAGGTCTAGCAGGGAGTTGTGGGGGTAGGGGGCTGAGGGGAGGCCTAAGGGCTAAAGGGGGCGACAACCCCTCCCTACGACACTCACGTCAAAGCCCTCATCGTTGCCATCGGACACCTCCCCTTCCTCCTTGTCGTCCATGGCGCCGCCGTGGTGGTGGGTGAGCCCTCGTGCACTGGGCCTGCTCCTCCCGCCTCCGTCGCTCTCACCAGCCACAAACAAACGTAAACAACGACACCTGAAGGCAGCCAAGCGCACCATTTCCCCCCCACCCCACCAACCCAAATCCCCTCAAAGGGCCTCTTATTTAGAAACCCTTCACTGCATGCACCCTTATTCTGATCCCCCTATTAGAACCCTTATTTTGGCCCCCCTCGACTGAGGCCTCGTTCTACCTCCGCCTCATCCCGTCATTGAACCCTTATTATGATTCCCCCCTCACACTTCACACACCCCCATCGCTGAACCCTCGATTTGAACCCCCATGCATACTCTCATATTAGGCAAATATGGTTAATGTAACAAATATGGTTAATGTTAAAGTTAATGTAACAGTCTCCGTGGTGTAGTGGTAAGACACTCGCCTGGCGTTCCGCGAGCGCTATGTCATGGGTTCGTATCCTGGCCGGGAAGGATTTACTGGGCGCAATTCCTTAACTGTAGCCTCTGTTTAACGCAACAGTAAAATGTGTACTTGGATGAAAAAACTATTCTTCGCGGCAGGGGATCGTATTCCAGGGACCATAGGATTAAGGACTTGCCCGAAACGCTACGCGTACTAGTGGCTGTACAAGAATGTAACAACTCTTGTATATATCTCAAAAAAAAAAAAAATATTGACCTCCCCTCACTGTTCTCTCAGTCTGACCCCCCCCCCCCTCACTGTACTCTCATTCTGCCCCCCCCCCCTCAAAGTAATCTCATTCTGACCCCCTCACTGTACTCGCATTCTGGGGGTCGTGTAACTTTTTGCACATCCTAGTCCATGGGTTAAGGTGCACATCTGTGGTTATCCACAACATTGGTTCGATCGTGCTGTCCTGCTCTAAAGATTATATCATTGATTTATCACATTGTGTACAATATCTTTATACATTTAATATTTTTTTATGTTCGACATACAATACTGTGGTGTAAATACTTTCTAATGAAAGGATTCTAAATGGGAAATTGTAAACAACGCCACACCTTAGGGATGGCATGTGACTGAAAGCTTTATTGTACAGATTTTAATGGACAACAAGATCCACAGCATTCACCCTTTATTTGTGCACATGATAGGACATACATTTGTGCATAATTTGATGCAGAAAACCATGGAAAAAGCACTGTTTGAATTTTTTAGTAATATTAATTTAAAATTATCAGTCTTGGAGGAATTCTGCATTATCTAGATGCCAAATTCATTGTACAGGTCACTGGCTAGATTAAAATCCCTATCTTGGACCAGGTTCCCATGTAGTACAAAACCCACTGAATTTATATTCAATATAGTATTGTATAGTGAATATTCTTTGCTTGAGCCAGTGAGCCCAACCACCTTACTGATACATCTCAGCGTAATACTGTAATGGGAAGGAGAGATACTGTATACAGTATAGTAACGGGAGGAACACGCAGTCAACAAGGTAGTACCGATAAAATCCTGATATACCATATAATTCAACATGACAAATGCACTATTGAAAGGAGAAGATAATTATATATTATGGTAAAAGGTTTACTATGAAATACAAAAGTACATATTTAACAATAATACATATGGCCTGTATTAATATATATTTTATACACTAAGTATAGTACTGTATAAACTGTTATACATACTGTACTTACAACCTGTAACTATATTTTAGAAATTCTAAATTCTGATACAGTCAAAATAAGAAATTAAGGAATGATATGTTTCCTTTGTAACCATAAAACAACAACTGTGCATAACTAAGCAAAATGGAAGAGGAGGCAGTCCTAAAAGAGGAATTAACAATTTACTGTAGAATCTGTCTTTATCCCCATGAACGCCCCTCTGATGGAGTAACCACAACTGAAACCTATTCAGGTAGCCCTATCTTAACATGCTCTTCTGATTTGTCCTCTTTCCTTTATGTCTAAGAATTATTAGCCAGCAGTAACTGGTTGGAGTTAATGTAATTTCATGATCAAAAAGATATTATGCAGTTGATGTCACCTCGAAGAAAACTATAAAATCAGTGCTAGTGACTGATAACTTTGCCTGTCATCCGATCAGGTGACAGCCTGGCTCTACTGAATGGACAGTACTGTACTGTACTCCAAAAGTCTCCCTTCCCCCATACTGACTGCCTACCATTCCACTCCCAATTCCCTTTCACTCTTCTATTTCTAACGTGGTGATCAAGTCTTCCTTTTATGTCTAATATGGAGGCTATCTACTGTACTAATGTGGTTGTCACTCGAGGATCAACTCGTATGGTACTTCATATTCCAGGATATTTCAAGCTTTGACCTTCATGCTATTGCCTTTTACACTGGCATGAATGACATGATAATGTTATGGGACAATACAAATTTGTCCATTTGTTAAAGAAAAAAAAAGACAAGCTGCTTACAAGAAACTTTTGGATAGGAAGTATAACACAAGAATTATATAGTGCAGGCTACACAAATTAAAAGATTAACAAACCAAGCCATTTTGTAACTCATGCACATCATCAAATGTTGGCACTGTTCCATATTGCACATCATAATACAAACCTGGCACCATTAGCTAGTTTATTAAAACTAAAATTGTCACTGTCATTCAGCAGTACAATTTTAATACAAGTATGGTGAGGCAATTATACATTTCCATTCAACCAAAAACAATCGATAATATAGAACTGTTTATATATTGGACCATGGAGGTGTCATTGGCTGTGGGTTTTGAAGGTAGGACATCACAACTGCAGAAATGGACAACCTGAAATGTTAATATAATTAGTAAATTATTTGTGACAAGCAAATAAAAGTATATTTGTTTAATTATGATAATTTACTTTGAAAATCAGAACTATTAGCCAGTAACAATGGGTTGGATTAATGTTATTTAAATTCCATTCAATAACAAAAGACAATTATGTAAGTGTTGTCACCCTTAGGAAAATCATGAAGTCAATGCTATAGTGACTGACAAGTAAGCTCAGAAAACTACTGACAGGGCTCTCCCAAAAATAACAAATCAGAGCAAGAGAGATTGTTGAAACACAGGGAATACAGAGGACATACTCAGCACACAAACACAATAAAGTACATAAATTATTGGGACCATTTGAAGCTCCCAAAATGTACTCTGGAAAGGAGACAAGAGAGGTATCATGTACTGTATACATGGACTGAACTCCAGGTCCAAAATTTGCACAGTATTATAACATAGTGGAGCGAACAATATGGTAGGAAATGCAGAATAGCGCAAGTGAAGAAAAACTGTGCCACAGAAACAGTCATAGAACACTGTATGAATATCCAGGTCCAAAATTTGCACAATATTATAACAGATGCTATACCGATGATGATACTTTTCAAAACGCTTGTGCTCTCTAGAGTGGAGTACTGCTGCACAATGACAGCCCCTTTCAAAGCTGGAGAAATTGCTGACCTGGAGAGTGTGCAGAGATCCTTTACTGCTAGAATCCACTCAGTAAAACATCTAAACTATTGGGACCGACTAAAGAGCCTAAATCTGTACTCCCTTGAGCGCAGGTGGGAGAGATACATAATAATTTACACGTGGAAAATATTAGAGGGGCTGGTCCCAAACCTGCACACAGAAATAACATCACATGAGACCAGAAGACATGGAAGGATGTGCAGAATACCCCCGTTGAAAAGCGGAGGTGCAACAAGTACTCCGAGAGAGAACTCAACAACATCAGAGGCCCGAGACTGTTCAACACGCTTCCGCTACACATAAGGGGCATAACTGGCCGACCCCTCACAGTGTTCAAGAGAGAACTGGATAAGCACCTCCAAAGGATACCTGATCAACCAGGCTGTGACTCATACGTCAGGCTGCGAGCAGCCGCGTCCAACAGCCTGGTTGATCAGTTCAGCATCCAAGAGGCCTGGTCGACGACCGGGCCGCGGGGACGCTAAGCCCCGGAAGCACCTCAAGGTAACCTCAAGGTAAGGTAAGGTAGTGGAGCGAACAATATGGTAGGAAATGCAGAACAGCGCAAGTGAAGAATAAAGGTGCCACAGGAACAATCATAGAACACTGTATGAATATCAAAGGACCACGGCTCCTTAATATCCTCACAGCAAATAAAATAAGTATGGCTGGAACAAAAGTATTTCTTCAAGAAAAAATTAGAGTTTCTTGCAAGAAGTGCTGGACTAACTAGATTGTAAGTGGGAATATGGCCCTGCAGGCCACTCCAAGCAACAGTCTACTGGACCAAGATCTTGCACGTCATGCCTGGCCCAGGCCAGGCTTGGAGAAAAATCCCAGAACCCCCTTATCCAGGTACAAATCCAGATCCAGGTAATGAAATGCCCTTTTCAGGCATGTAGTCAATCGCTCACCTCCCAGTCCTGTTCTCTTCCTTATAGAATATTTGGGGGTTCCATTTGGCTCAACGAGCGGGGATGGCAGGCTAGCTGGGACTTTAGGTGACCTGACCCACCATATGATGGTGGTCAGGCACATCATGGTTCATTTGTTGTCAACTACCATTTTAAGCTGTCATTGCAATCAATCTTAGCTACCTATGTGCTTTAATATACTGTACCTACAATTTTCTCTCATCTTTTTTTTTTTTCATTTCATGTAATCTGTTATTTTTTTGTCTATAAATTTTGCAAGTATTTACCTCCTTAAAATTTTCTTAGATTAAGGACCTGCCCGAAACGCTGCGCGTGCTAGTGGCTTTACAAGACTAATTACCATATTTGTATCCTCACATTCCTTATGTACATTCTTGTATATGCATAAATAAATAAATAAATAAATAAATAACCTGTCCTCTTGAAAATAACGTCGCTTTTCGTTCGAATGCATGCTATATCCAAAAATGAACGTAATTTGAAATGAAATTGGCTCACGAAAGTGACATACTGTCGCGTTTTCTCTAAGTCCTCTGGCTTACTTGGAAAGGTTAGGAGAGGAAACTTTCATTTAACGTTTTTCATAGCTTTTGAAACTTGGACAATTTCCTGCCCTCCTAACCTACGAGAGGACCCTTAACTTACTGTTTTGAAACAAAATCCAAAATTTATTTAAATTTTTTGATTTTTAAATTACGTCCATTTT